AGGCCTTTTGCATATATGGCACAGAACTAGGGAAGGATTTCAGTTTATTAAAAATGAAAAAGGAGAGAGAGAGAGAGGAAGGAATTAGAGGCCCCACAGCTTCCGTGCCTCTGCCCTTACTCCCGGCTCCGCTTCCAAGATTCAGGAGCGGCCCGGCCTGACCCAGATCTCAGGCTCTGCGCCCACTGCTCTGGGAAGAAGCATCAGTTTAGCCTGAACTCCCCTCTCCTGCCAGCACCTAGTCTAGTGTGTCCCTTGGAAGCACTGTCGCAGCTTCCTCCTGGCCGGGACGGAGAGGGCCCGGCTTGGGGATTTCCTTTGCTCCTCATGGGGCTGGAAGGCTGAGCCAGGGGACATCTGGGACGTATCAGCTGGCCAGTGGCATAGCCAAACTTTTGACAGAAGTTTCTTAGAGATGAGTAGCGTGAAGTGGGCGGCCTCTCCGACCATCCCCTTGGCAGAACATCTTCCATCTCCTGCCTGGCACTGCAGGTCAGCAGGTGTTTATCCAGCATCTGCCGATGCCTCATCCTGGGGCTTCATGGTCAGGAGACCTCGTGGGAGGCGAGGATGGGCCTCCCAGCCGAGGAACCTGGCCGTGCACACTCTGGTCTCCAGCCGGTCCTACACAGTGAAGGAGTAGGCAGCACCTAGGGGACAGAGAAGGGACCTCCTACCGTGAGGCGCTTTCCAGGGCTGGTCTGTGGCCGAGGTGCTGGGACAGGGGGTGCCTGGGGGGACCATTAAGAGAAGGAAAGGAAACAGCCACCGTCCCAGAGACTGTCCCTGGCGTGCTGGACACGCAGGTGACAGCCTGCCGGGGCCCCATCCGGATGACCCCTCTCTCACTGAAAGATGCCCTTTGCTGGCGTCAGGTCACCTCCGACGAGGAAAGGCTTTTCCGGGAATGCCCTGGCTCCCTCGTTTTTGCTCCCCAAGCCCTAGCGGGTATGAACCCCTCACCACCTCCCCCGCGGCCTTCCCCTCAGAGTTGCTTTGTCAGATGTTTTGCACACCCAGTTGCCACTGACCCTTTCGCTCCACTCCAGGATGAGGGACCAGCTGATGTGCCTTCCCCAGCCCCCGGCCCCCGCCTGTTGCCATGGTAATGGCAGGCAGTCCTGTTCCTGCAGAATATTGCTTTCTTGTAACCTTCCTCCCTCCCTCTTCCCCCTCCCCCACCCCACTTCTTTCTCTCACACAAAAAGAAAGCACAAGTGTTTTATATTCATTTTGCAAAAAGCTGTGTAGCGCATACTAATTGGCGTGGCTTCCTCCTGCTTGAGCCTTTCCCGTTCTCGGAGCCAGGATTACAGGCCAGGCAGGCATGGGCCCAGCCGCTGCTCGGGAAGGAGGGCCAGCTTGGTTTCTGGAGGCCAAGCAGCCGTCGATAGCCCAGGGCCTTTCTCCCAAGCCGTAAGCAGGTGCCTCGGAAGCATGGCTGCTGAGGGTCACCCTGTCCTTGTCCTAGAGCTTCCTGTGGGGTCCACAGGGGGTGGAGCACCAAATCCCTGGCTGGACACACGGACTCAAAGCCACATCCTGCTGGAGGGTTGTCCCTCTGTTGCCCAGTCCCAGGGCCCCTGTTGGCATCGCCTCCCAAGGCCTTCCTCCCTAGGGGCCTCCTGGCTGCTGAGGCAGAGCCTTGGCCTTAGGCTCGGCCTCAGGAGTGTGGGTCTGAAGCATCAAGTTCAGCCCCTGGGCTGAGTGGGGTTTGCCAGTCAGCTGGGGGAGGGCCAGTGATCCTGGCTGTCAGAGAGCCACCCTGCAGCCCCAGAGTGGCACCCAGCTCCCCTCCTCAAGGCATTCCTTGCCCTCTGTTTGACAGCTCCTTCCCCTCCTTGCCTGTAGGAGGCTGGGGGACTGAAAGGGCAGTGTGTGTGTGTGTGTGTGTGTGTGTGTGTGTGTGTGTGTCAGTCACACCACTACACGTGGTGTGGCCCCAAGCTGGGCTGTCTGGGGACCAGAGATAAATTTTTTGATATGTAAGCACAAGGGAGTGGCTGGGATTACTGCAGGAACCTGTAGATAACATTTCCGGCTTTAATTGTGCAATTGAAGTGTAATTTGCATTCATTTGCCATTTGGTGTTAAACTTCCTAAAATAAGAGAATTCACAGTGTAAAATATGCAGCGTTGCTGGCTGCACTCCCCAGTGGGGCAGAAGGAGGTGGTACAGAGATACACAATGCAGATCCCCTGGTGGGGAAGTGAGGTCTGCAGCCCTCATGTGTGCCCCGCTGTCCCAGCCCCATCCCGACACCAGGACTTTCTCACTTGCTGCATTTGACGGCCCGAGTTTGCTGCCTGGAGGCTGAGTGCCCTGTGCACCTGCACCGCTGGCCTGAGAGGCGGGGCCTGTGGCTCTGAGGAGTGAGTGGCATGAGGGGTGTGCAGTGGGGCTGGCAGGTGCCAGGAAATATAAGGACACAGAGGTTGCCCCTCGACCCTCTCGGCCCTCCTGTGAGTCTGAACCAGGTGTGAGATCATGGGGGTCAGTGAGGGTTCCCCCCTCAATACATGGGCACAGCAAGAGCAGATTGCTCAACAAGTACCACTGGATTGGGAATCAGGGTGTCTATTTGGGATTTTGACTTGGGGTGTTTTTGGAGATAGAATCCACATACCATAAAATCACCCTTTTAAAGTATGCAGCCCAGCATTGTACACTGCATGAGTATACTTTGCCAACGGGGTTGTGCAACCATCACCACTATCTAATTCTAGAACATGTTCACCACCCCAAAAAGGAACCCTGTACCCATTAGCAGTCACTCCCTGTGTCTCCCTCCTCCGGCCTCTGGCAACGTCTGATCTCTCTGTCTCTGGATTCGCCTGTTCTGGACGTTTCACATACATGGAGTCATCTACAGGATGTGACTTGCACATCTGGCTTCTCTCACTCAGCAGAAGTTTTTGAGGTTCATCCGTGTTGGGGGTGTATCAGAACTTCATTCCTTAATATCGCCAGATAGCATTCCCTGCGTGGATATCGGGGTATCAGTCGAGGGACGTTTGGGTGGTTTCCGCTTTCCGGCTGTGATGGGTGCTGCTCCATGAGCATTCCTGTGGAAGCTTGTGTGTGGACATGTTTTCAGCCCCGTTGGGAGTAACCCTGTGTTTCACTCTTTGAGGCACAGTTGGCCTGCCCCTTGCCTCACTGTTTGATTTTGGACAAGTCACTCCCCGACGCGGACTCCCTGGTCTCCTTTCGCCTCCCTGACGTTGACAGCGACTTGCTTGGACAGTCGAGCGTCTGAGTGCACGTCCTGCGAGGTGGGGCTCGGGCTGCTCTGTTGCCCGGCACCGCGCTCACTGCTCTGCTGTCTGTTCCCACATCTCACCCTGTGCGTCCTTCCTGCCGCTGTTGGAGCAGAAAGCCCCCTGGGAGCCTCCCTCAGTGGCAGCAGAGGCCTGGGCCTTGCTGCTTCTGGACCTAATCCTACCCTGGCTCTTGGCCTGGGCACCAGGCAGCCCTTGCTCCTGCCATCCGTCCGGACTGCTTAGCAGCCACACTTCTCAGCCAGCGCAGGAGCGTTCTCTGCAAGCCCCACAGTCAGACGTCCAAATGTGCAGGAGGGCAGGGGTCCAGGCTGCCTGCAGGCCCTGGGCTGGGACGGGTCTGACTCACCTGCAGCCCCAGCACCCAGCACAGCACACAGGGGAGGGACAGCTGGGATGCCAGGTCCCACCTGGTGAGGCTGGCGTGCGGCAGGGCAGGGAGTGAAGTTACTGTCTCTCAGGGAGGTTTTGTGCCGAACACACCAGGCTGCTAGGAGAACACTGGGGGCCAGAATGGGCCAGCAGGTACGGGGCTCAACTGCACGGCCAGGCTGCTGGGAGAACACTGGGGGCCAGAATGGGCCAGCAGGTACGGGGCTCAGCTGCACGGCCAAGCTGCAGAGAGGACCCCAGGAAAAGTGACAGCAGGGGCAGGGGAGGATGGGGTGCTGGCACATTAGTTGCTGTGAGACAGGAGCTGCTTTCAAACTTGGAGAGGCTCGTGGCTTTTTTTTTCTTTTGAGATAAAATTCTCCCTTTTAAAATACAGGATTCAGTGGTTTCACTTACCTAGTATTTTTTTATTTAGTATTTGATAAGGTTGTATCGCCAGCACCACAGTCTAACATGTGAACGTTTCCATCATCCCACGGAGAGCCTACAGCAGCTTGACCTTGACTCTAGTCACCACATCCCCCGCTGGCATGGCCGCCCGCGGTACCCGGGCCCGCCCAGAGCTCTGTGTCGTTTCCACTGGTCCAGAGATCTCTGGATTGTAGGGCAGCCCCGGGGGACTATGTGACACGGCCCTGACTTGAGCGCACAGTGGGGACTGTTCTCTACACTCACCTCTGTGCCTTCCTTGGAAGAGCTTGGCAGGCAGGGTCAGGTTCAGGGGCCTTGCTCCACTAGCTTCTGTGTATGAGCGCTGCAGAGGCAGCGAGAACTGAACACGTTAGGAAGTCTTCCGTCCTGGAGCCCAGAGTCACACCCCAAACATGCAGGGTCCTCTGGGATCTGCCAGGGCCTGGTGTCGCCTCTGCAGAAGGATTTGTCCTGTGACCTGATGCTGGGCTGGGCCATGGCTGCCACCCCCAGGAGTGTGGCTGTGAGGGCATTGCTGGGTCATCGTTGGGCACAGACAGCCCAGGAGCCCTGAGATGTGTATTGCACAGGCTGCCCTGGTGCCTGAGTCCCGCATCCCCTGGGGTCCCCTCTCGTCCCCACGCCAGGGACCAGAGAGGAGTGGTCATGGGAAGGCTGACTTCCAGGCCTCAGATTCCAGCTTCCTCCCTCCAGTCGCTCCTGTCCACTGCCTGTGTTCCCTTCAGTTCAGGCCTTTGTAGAACATTTTGGGCATCGTTACAGCCATAGTCTTGGCCACCCTCACCAGCCTGTTGCCCTCTGCAGACCCCTCTCCGCCTCCTAGAGGAGGCTCTGTCTCCAGCCACAGCTGCCTGTGGAGGTCCTTGTCCCTCATCCTCTGCTTTTCTCCCCAGGTTATCCTGAAGGATCTGGAGGTGTTGGCAGAAATCGCTTCCTCCCCTGCAGGCCAGACAGAGGACCCAGGCCCCCTCGACGGCCCTGACCTCCAGGCCAGCTACTCCAAACTTCAGGTGTCCACCCCTGGCAGGGCCGGCCTGCTGACCACTCCCAGTAAGTCTTCCCCTGATGCTTCCAGCCTTGGGGACACTAGGAACACTGGTGCTCGGTCTCCTCCTGGACTGGGGCCATCCTCGGGGCTGTCTCTCTCGAGCCTTGGAGTTCTGCCAGGGTGTGAGGGTCAGTGACGGCCATTGTCCAGGAGGCAGGTGGACCTGGCCATGCTGCCGCCTCCTGGCTCACACTCCAGCCCCCGTAAGAGACGCTTAGTCCCTTTTCCTCACCTTCCTGCACCTTTTACCCGTTGAGCCATTGGCTTAATGTAAAACCATCTGAGTCAGCCGATCACCTCTCCCTGGGGTGGCGTCTCCCTGGTCAGGAATCAAGGGGCTTTGGAGTCGGGGCTCACAGGTGGGAGACTAGGCAGCCATTTCCTTCCTCACTGAGAGGCTAAAAATAGCTCTCAACATGGCAGGCAGCCCAGGCAAGAGACAGTATAATTCAAACAGCATGTTTCCGGGAGTGCTTGGCCATGAAGGTGGCGTGGCGTTCCTGGTGCTCCCCCTCGGAGCTCCTTCCAGACATCAGGTGGCCCTTCTCCCAGGCCAGGCTACTCCCAGCACCTCCCTCCCAGGCAGACACAGTTCCCTCCAGCGACACCGTCCTGGAACCTGCCCAGGGGTGCGAGTCAGTGGGAAAGCACCCAGGGGCCTTGGGTGTTTGCCTGGGTGTCTCTGTCCCCTGAGTGGCTCTTGCCACCAGGCACCAGGTCCTAGATCAGTGATGGCGAACCTTTTGAGCTCAGCGTGTCAGCATTTTGAAAAACCCTAACTTAACTCTGGTGCCGTGTCACATATAGAAATTTTTTGATATTTGCAACCATAGTAAAACAAAGACTTATATTTTTGATATTTATTTTATATATTTAAATACCATTTAACAAAGAAAAATGAACCAAAAAAATGAGTTCGTGTGTCACCTCTGACACGTGTGTCATAGGTTCACCATCACTGTCCTAGACAGTCCCTCTGATGTAGAAGCCAAGTGTCAAATACATTTGGGGCCCATCAGCAGCAGCTCCCCTCCTGCAGCCCCACCAGGCTGGGCCCGAGGACACCTAGAGCACCTGCAGGCCTGCCTGCGCCGGGCTGTGAGGTCATCACAGAGGTTGTGCATGAAAGGGTCCCGGTGACACGGCATCAAGCCCCACCCCTGCCCTTGCAGCAGAGTGTCCATAGGACCCCAGGCTCTAGGCCGCCACCGCTGCACACGCTCCGCCTGCAGCTGGTCCCAAGTCCCAGCTATTCCTGCTAAAGTAAGGAAGGAGTGAGGGGCTATGGTAGCCCAACTTGCTTCTTGTTTCCCCAGGATGCAGGGGTTTCCTTGCCAGCGAGCGGGTTTCCTCTGGGCAGTCAGAGGCCATAGTCAGGGGGGCACCCACATCCTGACTCGGGACCCGTGCTGAGGTTCCCACCCTCTATCCCACAGCCTAGGACTCTGCTCTTCATCCTGTGTCCCCAAGTCAACACTTGAGGGTCAACTTGAAGTCTCCAGGACTTGAATTGTCAGAAAAATAAAATGTCAATCAGTCCAGAATCTATTGTTATTAAAAAATTAGGTGGATACCCAAATTAACCTTTCATCTATTGAGTGCCACTGGAAATGTGTTTCACTTTGAATGCCACAGAGTGTGAGGGTAGGGCCCTCCATGAGAGGGCGAGGAGCAGCAGGCTCCTCCTTGGAGAGGGTGGGCCTGGGGGGCAGGGACAGGGTGGCAGTGATACCTGACCACCAGGAGAAAGCGCCGCAGGGACCAGGCCAGCCTCACCCCCCTTGTCGGAGCATCCGCTCTCCCTAGTGGGAGAAGCGAAAAGCTGAGGCAGCACAGCCCCAGGCAGGATGGACACCTTGACCTCCCACGACTGTGCTCCACCTACAGGTGGCTTTTCTCTTCCTCCCTGGCACAGAGAAGTGCCGCCGGAGCCCTGCACCCCGGCCTGAACCCCAGGGTCTGCTCACGGAGCTCATCATGACTGAAATGCTTGCTTGCTGGTGGAGGGATGGGCCAGAAAAATGGCTGTGAGTGGCCCAGGTCACTCTGGAGCCATAGGGCCTGACCCAGAGAACTGCAGAAGAGGCCCTGTGAGAGCAAGCCCTTCCAGCCGCTAGGGAACAACGGCTGGGGCACTTGGATGGCAAAGCGCTCAACCCCCGCTCCTGTCCCCACCAAGATGGGTCAGCCACTGACGAGTCTCAGGCAGTAGTCTCAGCAAGGCTGTAGGACCGGCTCACCTCAGCCAGGGCTCACCCGGATGCATAGACTAACCAAGTGTGCGGGACGGGAAGAATTCCATCCTGGGAAGAACACCCAGGAAGTGCTGCAGCCAACAGTGCTTCTTGCTTCGAGGGGTCACAGCACCGAGGGCCACACGCTCTCAGCCTGAGACTCTAGGAGGGGGGACCACCCCTGCATGTGCGTCCACAGCTGGCACGAGATTTTCAAATGGGTCCGTGATTTTAAAAGGTCAAGTTCACAGCAGTAATAGAAGAGCATGGGAAGCCAGAGCCGGGCCGCAGCCACCTTAGGGAGGGTGCGCGGCAGGCCCTTGTTGCGGGCGGCTGTTGGGTCGGAAAGCACTCGTCCCTCTGCAGGCTGCTCTTTGTGGTGGTGCTTTTAAGGCACGCGAGCAAGGGGGTCATTCTGCTTCCATCTGGCTGAGCACGGGGACAGTGGACCCAAGGCCAGACCCTGTCCTGTTTGGATTCTGTTTTCCTCTGGCTCTCCAGGGCACACCTCTGAGAACTCGCAGACTGCAGTGCTACGTCCCTTTAGGGTAGATCATCCCACCCCATAAAGGAAAGCCAAGGAGGCAGGGAACCTAGCAAAGATGAAGTCAGTGGTGTTCCTGGGGAATTGAATGTCCCGCCTGTGTGTTGGGTCCAGAAACTCAAATGGTGCAGATGGAGCGCAGTGGTGGGGAAGCGGGGCCCATCCCACGCCTGGGTGGCGCTGTGTTGGCCTAAATGTGCAGCAGCGGTCCCCAGGCCTCAAGGCAGAGCTGCCCACGTGGGATTTTCCTCCCGCCCGTCCCAGTGTAAACACCTCCCTCCCGTGCGGAGCTGTGGGGGCTGAGGCCATGGTGTCGCTTCTCGCACGCCCCCTTCATTCCTGACCTTTGCAGATGCCCCGGCTGGGAAGAGGCCTCCTCGGGCGCAGTCAGGAGGGAGCCAGTGGAGGGACACTGTTTCCCTGTCTCCCTGGACTGATTGGGTGACATGAAACAACACCACCTTGGTCTCCTGTGACTTGGCAACTTCTGTGCCTTCTCTACCTGTCTCTGCTCCGGGGGACGTTAGCCGAGGCTGTGCAGGCTCCGGGAAGAGGAGATGCTGAGCCCCCTCAAGCCAACCCAGGGCCTGACCCTGAGCCTGCACAGAAGGTGCAGCAGGAGCTGGCGGCTCTGGGACCGTTCTCCTGTTAGAGACATGCTTGGCCGGCTTGGGGCTTGGACATCCCAGCTGCGGAGGGAGCCGCCTGCCAAACACAGCAGCAGTGTGGCAATCGGGGCCAGAGGTCAACCCAGAACTGATGTTTACCCTGAAAACCCAGTTTTCCCTGTCCTTCCCCCTGGCCACGGGCCCATTCTTGGTGGGATAAAACTGCTTACATCAGGGCTCTCTGGTCCAAGGTGGAGTATGACCCCAGCTCTACGAACATGGACAAAAATGGAATGTTCTGATTCAGTTTTGTTCCTTATAAGCCCAGGCTGGTGTGGCCAAAAGCAGAAAGAAGTTCTAGAAAAAACCTAGAAAGCGATCCCTGGGCGTTTTTCCCAATAACAACTGTGACTGTAATATGTGGAGCTCCCGTGAGGACCAGGCGCTGTCTGAGCGCTCCCCACGTGCCGGCTCCTGTACCCCGAGGTGAGCTAGCTCAGACCTCACTGCGGCAGACAGGGGTGCTGACCCAGGGCCTAGCCTGAGGGCCTGCTCTCTTCACCCCACACTCGGCCCAGGAGCCCCCTTGAGCCCCAGCCTTGCCCAGCACTGGACTCTTCCACCGCCCGAGGGAGGAGCCGAGCAGTAGTAGCCAGGCCGGCGGTCTCCTGTGGGTTTGGGGTCACGATACCCCTCAATCTGACAGTTCTTGGGGGTGGCCCTCTTCGCAGTGACTTCAGGGACCCCATTCTGGCCTCAGGTGACCTCTTGGTTTCCTCCATCTCCTGCAGCCACACCAGACCAGGTCCCAGCCCCCAAGGGCCTTACAAGCCCTTCTTCCCACACGCTGTGTTCAGGCACAGGGGTTGGGAAGACCTAGGCTCACAGTCCATCTGTGCCCTACCTGCCCTGCGACCTGGGGCAAGTGTCCTGCCTCAGTGCCACCTCCTCTCCTCCGTTACTTGGGCAATGGGTAGTTGGGGGCTCTGTGCGCTCTTGCGTGGAAGACGCTAAGATACGTGTGAGTGCCACCTCTGCTTCGGTCCTTATTATGGGAGCTCAGGTGCTCTCCTCTGTGGGGCTTTCAGGAGAACCGGGGCCAGACCCTCCCGCCCCTGCCCTCCCACCCGTCGCTCTGTGCATGGGTGCTGGGGCCACATCTGTTTCCCTCCTGGCCATGACCTCTTAGACCCTGGTTTCTCAAGGTGCAGGCTGTGCAGCCTCTGCGTCGCCTGGAGGGTCATCAGCAATGGGCACACTTGGGCCCACCCCAGACTCAGAATCGCATTTTGTCAGGATCACAGGTGCCTTGTGTGCCCCCCACAGTTAGAGAAGCGCCAGCTCAGCCCGCAGGGGTCTGTGGTACTCACCTGTGAACCCCGCATCAGAGCCGTTATAACGGGGGCACCAGAGCTGGGTCTGAGGCTCACCTAGCACCACTGCCCAGGCCTTTACTGGCCACCAGATGGAGAGCCCGGCCCCCTCCTACCCAGGCCCATTGCTGTTGACAGTCTGAGGGCCCTTCCCCCTTCCTTCTCTCCAGCACCACCCGTGTCCCCAGCTGCTTGCTCCGACAGCCCTGCAGCTTTCCCCTGGTCAGCCCTCTCCACTGCCAT